GTGGCCGCCCCTCCCCTTACGCTCGGCGGGCTCGCCCCCGAGCCGGGCGCGCGGGCGGTGCGCGAGCACGCGAGGGAGGAAGGCCGGAGGGACTCCGCCGCGGGGGCGAGCGCGCAGGCGCTTTGCCGGCACCCGCTGCAGGCGCGAATCCCGACGGCCGGCGGACGGCGTGGTAAGAACCGGGGATCCTGGGGGTTCTGGACACCGGGCTAGTGTGGGGAGGCGCTGGTGGCTCGCGACGCGCCTCGAGCCTGCGCGGAGCTGGCGCCCCGGCTCCCGGATCCGCTCCACTTCCAGGGACGGGAGGCGAGGCCTCCCCAGCCCAGCGTGCAGGGTCGCTTGGGGGTCTGGGGAAGGGACACAGTGTTGGTGGTGGTGCCTCCTGGCCGGAGCTATCCTACGGGTCTGGCCCGCGGAGAAAGGGAGGAGAAACGTCAGGAGGGGTCCCTATTGCCAAATGTGCTCACCCGGAATAGCTGCAGTTCTCTGGGTGTTATGTCCGCCGTGGGGCAAGGACCTTCAGACTAAAGGGAACACAGTCGGCTCTGGGACGTGGACGGCCGACTTTTCTTTTGTCTCGATGCACCCTCAAGACAAAATAGGACGGAAAGCTCCTCTGCCGCCTGCGTGGCAACTTCATGCCGTATGGATGGGTTAGAAAGTTACTGCTTTACAGGTGGAAAACGTCAGGAAGAATCCTTTTTACTGTGAAAGAAGAGAGCAGTTAACAAGTCTCACATGGTATCTAACCACAAGGACTCAGTAAAATTAAGTACCTCTCCTCTTCACACACACACACACATCTCCATTCAGCAAATACTGCATGGGTACCTGCTTTCTACCAACACTGTTCTAAATGCGGGGAGCAGAGTATCGACTAAGACAGGAGGACCCCTGCTCACATGGAGCTTCAATTAAAGTTGACAAATAAATGTAATTTCCTTTTATACTTTTTTATTGGAATATAACATCCGTACAGAAAAACACTGTACACAAATCATAAATTGTAACTTGCTGATTTATTACAAAGTAAGTATGTCTTTTAACCATCACTCAAATCAAGAAACAACATTCACAGCATCTCAGAAGACCTCCCTGGAGATCCTCCCAATCACCATCCCTTCTTTCGTCCCCCAAAGTAATCTCTTTCCTGATTTCTAACACCTTACATTAGTTCTGCCTATTTATGAGACTTTTATGGAACCACATGCTATATATATTCTTTGTTGTCTAGCTTTTTTTACTTAATATTATGTGTGTGAGATTGTTCCATGTTGTGTCAAAATATAGTTTCTGATAGTGAAAAGAGGAAGAAAACTAAAGGAGGTAATGCTACAAACATTAAAGGGAGGAAACTAGTAGAGAGGTCAGATATGATATTTAAGAGGGGATAACTTAAGATATAACATGAATGACAGAAGATTAGCCAGTGAGCTGGGTTAAGAGCATTCCAAGCAGAGGGGACAGAAGTGGAAAGGAAATGATAGAGGAATGAACTTGACAGGTTCTAGGAAGAGAGGGAAGACTGGGAAAGTGGGAGGAGATGAAGTTGGAGAGGCAGGCAGGGGTTAGATAGTAGAGGGTCTTGTAGCTGGGGTTTTTAGATTTTATTCTAAGTGTAACACATGTAGCAAAAGATGTTTTTGATGTCCTTTAGCTTCTAGCATAAACCATTTGTGGAGGATGGGAAGTCCTATCCATTTTACTCATTATATTAATCCATTTCTGTTGCTTATAACAAAATACCCGAAACTGGGTATTTTATAAAGAAAACAAAATTTATTGCTTACAGTTTCTGAGGCTGGAAAGTCCAAAGTACAGGGAACACAGCTGGTGAAGGCCTTGGCGGTGGCAACAGTGACAGCAGGGTATCACAATGCAAAAATGGTGGATCAGAGAGAGAGGCTAACCTCATTCACTCTCTTTCAAAGCCCTTCAAATAGAGAGGCTAACTTCATTCACTCTCCTTCAAAGCCCTTCAGACCATGCCCATGACCACAATTTTTAATCCGTTCACTACACTATGGTCCTACAATCTAGTCACTTCTTCAAGGCCCCCACCTTTCAATTACCATAATAGGATTTCCCACCCTCAGCAGTTCCAGTGGGAATTAATTTGGGGGGGGGACATTCAGCCCAAGGCACTCATCAAAGAAGCCCAACAAGTGTGGCAGTACTAGGAAGCCATTCGAAATTGGGGGAACAACATGTGGGGAGACCAAACCTTCTTTTGTATTGTCACTATTTTTATTAATTAAGACACACAATTTTCTTCCAAAGTCAGATTTAGAAGAAGCATCAGAATTAGACATCTATTCTCACACTCTACAAATATTACTGTCAAGTAGTGGCTCGGCTTCTGTTTGAACCTGTTAAAGAGGAACTCCCTTCTCAAGAAGAAGCTCATTTTGTTTTTGGACAGCTCTAATTGTTAGAAACGTTTTCTAATATTTAATTAAAATGCCGTGTCATTGATCATCAGTTCTAGGTCCACATAGAACTAATAATCGTCATCAGTTATCTGTTGCCTCCCATTCGGTACACATGCAGTTGATTTTTTTTTCTTCTCACATTTAAGTGCAGGACTTTGAATTCATGTAAATTTATCTCTTATGGTTTCTGGAGTTAGATTTGGTTCATCCATAGATGCTGTCCATCTTCTTGGATTTGATTTCTTCATCTGTCTGTTAGTTATCCCTTCCACCGTTGTGCTCTTAACAAACTTGATCAGCATGGTATCAGTTAAGCATTATATTCTTTATAAGTGTTATTGGTAGTCTTTTTTTTTTTTTTTTTTGGCGGCTGGCCGGTATGGGGAATCTGAACCCTTGACCTCGGTGTTACAACACTGCAGTATGGCCAGCTGAGCTAATTGGTCAGCCCTGGTAGTCTTACTTTTGTTACTTAAGGTTCCTGGGGAAGTACGTACATATGTTTACCTGCAACTGTGGACCCTTAACTTGGTCATATTCATGATTTAAATTTCCTTGGTAGAATATTAGTTAGGCTATGTTTTCAAATCCGAGAATTAGCGTTTGTATAATAGATTTTAAACATAATATCTCAGCAGAAAATAGAGTGTTGTATTGCAATTCTGGAATATACAGTGCAGCATGTTGATGAAAGGGGCTTTTCGACTTAGAGTACAAGAGAATTCAAATAGTTTATAATGGCCTGTAACCTGTGTCAAATCCAGAATTGATATCAGAAAGTGATTTGATTTGATTTTTTCTTTTATCTTGCTCTATGATAGAAGTAAGTTCCAGTGAATAGTGAAAGTATTGAAGGTGAATGTAGCAGAAGGGAGGAAAGAGAAAAGGAATTTATATAATCCAAATTTGAATAATGGAGCTACATAGCTTCCTAAATGCTTTGAGTCATTCTACCTGATTGAGATGCTAGACTTTTTACTTCTTTTTTTTTTTTTTTAATTCCTTTTTGTCTTTTTTACTGACCGGTAATGGGATCGCAACCCTCGGTGTCGCGTCCGCACCGGGGACCGGCAACAGGATCGCAACCCTCGGTGTTGCGACCACACTGCGCTCAGCCAGTGAGCAGGAACCGGTCTCCACATGGGATCCGAACCCTCGGCGGGAGCGCCGCCATGCTCCCAAGCAGTGCACTCTCCAGTGCGCCACCGGGCCGGCCCTAGACTTTTTACTTCTGAAGTTGTCCCTTGATGTTTTCTTTTAAGTAAGCAAATAATTTTAGCCCAAGGGGCAGAATGTGCCAATTTGCCCCTCAATTTTTCAGTTGATTTATTAATTATATTCTTCTGAATGTATTTAAATTAAAGTATATCCTGTAGTTATAATGGCCTATCATTTTTCAAACAGAAGAGGAGGTTTACTTGTAAACCTCCAACCTGAGGTAAAAAGTGAAAGAAAAAATAACATGTAAATAGTTAATTAAGTTTCACTGCTTTTGTATTTTCTCTTAAGATTTGGGGCTATTCTTACTGATTTTTGCAAAGGTTGATTTCTCTAAGATTGAAGGTTGGTGTGGTTAGTGCAAGTCTATTTTGAAAGGAAAGAAGTAATAGCCAAACCATAGAAAATACTTTAGTGGAAGTCTTCCCAAACTACATTATGAAGATAAAATTCCTCTTTCTGTACCAAAGATAATTTACCCCTTTGTCTACCTTTGCAGTCTTATATTTATCTGCAGGTAAATGTGCTCTAGATAGAATTATCTGTGCTACTATCTACATGTCTGTGTTGTTCTTCTCTCAGAAATATTCCCTTGTGAGGGCAAATCCTTACCATACCTTTAGACACTTTGAGTCCCATTTAATAGGAGAGCTACCTTTTGAGGTATTTCCCAGCTAGAGGACTAGGGAATAAGGAACTTTAGACTACCTCTTTCCATCCATATTCCCCCAACTCCTTCCCCAATTCTCTATCTTTCTCCTTGGTTTAATGGGTTTATTGTTACAGGTACTGTGCTAAGCTAAATCTTGGTATCTTTTTTCCTCCCTAGGCTACTTCTTCATAGACATAATCAACTTTTGACTTTTTGGAAATGAAGTATCATTAAAATTCTCTCAAACTCCTAATTCCAAAGAAGATATAACATTTCTCTGAACAAGAAAAGAAGTGACTGCCTGCGTGTTAAAAGTACTCTGGCACTGGTCCTATTTTTTTTCTCCCTGAATTCGAAGAACTATGGAAAAATTGTACTTGATGACAGTAGTGGTCTTGATAGGACTAACAGTACGGTGGGCAATTTCTCTTAATTCTTATTCAGGTAATACATTTTTACTGTTTAAAAGATAGGTAAATATTCTTTGAATAGGTTTTTTTTTGTATTTTATTGTTTGGTTTTTTGTGGGGAACAGTTTATAGGTTTCTGACTGGGACAGAGAAGAATTTCAGACTTTACTTGTATGGTCAAGAAAATACTTTTTAAAACAATTTTTTAATTTTTAAAATATTCTTTATGAGAAAATACATTTAAACATCTAATTCTAATACAAAGAATATGTATAAGAGCTAAATGGAAGCATGAACTTTGTGATGTGAAAAAATAAAAATGTATTCTAGCCAGGAAGATGACAAATTGACAAACAATTATGTATTAGACATTGACGAGAGAAATGAGCTTGTGCTTTAAGGGGGAAGCAGAGTAAAAGGAGGCTTTTTTTTTTTTCTTTAGGACATATTACTAGAATGGAAGGAAGAGACCAGTGGAGAAGAATAAGATTGGGAATGAGGGAGGGGGAATTGATGGAGTATCATTCTGGAGACTGTGGGGATGGGGATAAAATTGAACTCTGCAGTATTTATTTAGCACTTCTCATGTTCCATGCACTGTGTACTACCTGTTAGAAATGTTAGGCAAATATCCAATACTCAAGGGGCTAACAGTTTAAAAATAAGTAGTCACAATATCATGTGATGGTTATATATGTATGAGGTGCAAAGGTAACAGTAGAAAAGTGAATGATCAGGACACATTAGAGAAGACTTCAGAGATGTTTGAGTTCAAGGTTTGAAGAATAAGTTGGAATTTGCTAGGCAAATGTAGTGGGGTAAATATTCTAGAGAACAGGAACATGTGCAAAAGATATGTTGCAGCTGGCTGATAATACCTAGATCAAGGGTTTGGATCCTTTTACTGGCCAGCTACCCAAAAAAAACCCCAACCAAACAAAAAGATATGCATGTTGATTCCCAGAAGAAAACAAAAAACAAACAAAAGATAAGGTAGCCTCAGAGAGCATGGTTATAAGTATGCAGTATTGGAGTAGCAGAAAAAGAAGGAACAAAAGGGATGGGGAGGGAGTGTCTGGAGATTTGGTTATACAATTGGCTAAGCAAATTATTTGGTTGTAGAAAAATAACTTATGGTAGTGAAAAAGGATTGTAGGAAAAAGAAGTTGGAGGTAGAGAGACAAATGAGACAATAATAATAGCAGGAAGAGCTACTAGTTTTTGAGTATTTATGATACTCTGGACACTATATTCTTTAGTACTTGGTACTAAAGGCAATATCTCTAATTTACAAATGAAAAGTGAGACAACCAATAAATGACAATTGGGATTCAAATATAGTTGTATTTGATTCCAAAGTCAGAGCTTTTATGACTCTGCTCTGTGGCTTCTGAGAAAGAAGAGGGCTTGAACTTCAGCAGTTGAAAGATGGAGGGATGGCCGGCTAGCTCAGTTGGTTAGAGGGTGGTGTAATGACACCATGGTCAAAGGTTTGGATCCCTACTGGCCAGCTGCTAAAAAAAAAGATGGTGAAATGAATTTGAGGAATACTGAGACAGTAAAATTACTTGTATTTAGCAGTAAACTTGAGCCCAAATCTTTCACCTGTTAGCTGCCCAATCTTGGGGAAGTTATTTAATCTCCCTGAGCCCCAGGTACCTCTTTTGCATGGTGGGGGTATTAATATGTACTTTAACAGGGTCGTTGTGAGGATTATTGTGATAATACATATAGTTTTTTTTTTGTAATAATATAGGAATATAATCAGTGAATTTATGGTTTTTAACTCTTATTTGATCTTCACATCAGATCATTTAAGCCCAAAATATTTATTAAGTTTCTGCTGTACAGCAAAAATAGGTCTTGCTCATGATCAAGTCTTTAGGGTGACCAAGAATAATAAATTGTATCTTCTCTAGAGAAGTTCACAGCCTAGTGGGTAGGGCGGACATGTAAATATATAGTACATTAAAATGTAGTGTATTATTGCTGTACAGCAAAAATAGGTCTTGCTCATGATCAAGTCTTTAGGGTGACCAAGAATAATAAATTGTATCTTCTCTAGAGAAGTTCACAGCCTAGTGGGTAGGGCGGACATGTAAATATATAGTACATTAAAATGTACTGTATTATTGGGCCGGCCCGGTGGCGCACTGGATAGTGAGCCGCTTGGGAAGCGCGGCAGCGCTCCTGTCCGAGGGTTCGGATCCCACGTACAGACCGGCTCCCGCTCACTGGCTGAGCGAGGCGCGGGAGCAACGCCGAGGCTTGCGATCCCGTCGCCGGTCCCCGGTCCGGTACGGGGGCAACACTGAGGGTTGCGATCCGTTGCCGGACACGGAAAAAAAAACAAAAAAAAAAAAAAAAAAATGTAGTGTATTATAAACAGAGTAGATTGGGAACACGAGACTTAATTCAGTTGAGAAAACTTAGAGTGTAACATTTAAGTTTGTTCTCAAATAGAGCAGAGGATTTTACTAGGCAGAAGAAAAGGTGAGAAGAGTACTCCAGTAAGAGGAAATAGCACGGACAAAGGCCAAGTTCTCTGAGGAATGGTGAGGATGTAAGTGTGAGTGGAACACAGGGTGCATGGTAAGATGGAGATGTGGTGGTAGGGGAGGTGGTAGAAATAAACTGGGACCGTACTGTGAGCCAAACTAGCACGTGAGGGTTTTAACCTTTGGGCTACAGAGGTTTTTAAGCAGGGAGGTCGCATGATCAGATGTTTTTACTTTTTAAAGACAACTGCAGGCAGCTGGGAGAGACTGATGGTAGGAAGACCACACTGGCAGTGTCTATGAGCATTTTAGTCATATAAAAAAGGGTGCGTTTTGAGAGAGTTTGGCCAGAGACATAGGAACACATAAATCCATCTTCAGTTGGTCACAGAGAACACTTTTATTACTAGAGTTAGGCTCTGGCTTCATACTCCAGTGCATCTCTCTGGTGAACTAGGCTGGGTCAATTGTAGGACTCCTTTTTTTTTTTTTTGGCTAGAACCAAAGTAGTCAGGTTCTGTTTTGCTCAGTTTCTCTGGAAGCTCACGCCCAACCTCAGATCTAGAACAAAGCTATTGCAAAAGATGAACCAGAAAACATTTGCCCCAATTCCTAGAGCAAATTTTGTCTATATTACTCATTCTAAGCCTTTCTAGTGTCGAGGCAGTTCCAAAATGGGAGGGTTCCTGTTACTCCAGATCCTTCTTTCTGTAAAATCTGAAATAATATGTAAGATTGGAATTGTTTGTTCCTTGGGTGCTTGGTAGAATTTCCTGGTAAAACTATTTGGGCCTGAAATTTTCTTCATGGGCAAATATTTAACTGGTGATTTAATTTCTTTAATGGTTATAGGACTGTTTGGACTTTCTATTTCTTCTTGAATTATTTTTGTAATTTATATTTTTCTAGGAATTTGTTCATTTCACCTGTTTTAAAATGTGTTGGAATAAAATTATTCGTAATTTTTTTTTTTTAATCTCTTCTGTATTAATGGCTATAGTTCCATTTTCATTTCTTATATAATTAATGTTGTTTCATTAAAAAAATAAGTTTTATTAGAGGTTAATTGATCTTAGTATTTTCAAAGAAGAAATTTGAGCTTTGCTGATACTCTCAGTGGTATGTCTGGGTTTGTTCTTTAACTGCTAAATTGGATGCTTTAGCTCCTTAAGTTTCTTTTTTTTTAAAAAAATAGATGACCGGTAAGGGGATCTTAACCCTTGACTTTGTGTTGTCAGCACCATGCTCTCCAAGCGAGCGAACCAGCCATCCCTATGTAGGGGTCTGAACCCGTGGCCTTGGTGTTATCAGCACCACACTCTCCCAAGTGAGCCACGGGATGGCTCTAGCGCCTAAAGTTTCAATCTCTCTTTTCTTTTTTCTTTTTTTAATTCCCCTCCACGAGGAATCTCTTCTTTTCTAATAAAATCACTTAAGCTATAAATTTCCTTTAACATACCACCGCACAAGAAATATTTTCTAATTTCTATTCTGATTACTACTTTGACTCATAAGTTATTTAGAAGTATGTTTAAAATTTTGTAAATACGTAGGTTTAAAAATTATCTTTTTGGTATTTTTAATTTAATTGCATTTTTGAGAGAGAATCTTTTCATGGTACTAATTCTTTGAAATGTGTTGACACTTGGGCTTATTTGGTCAATTTTTAAAAATGTTCTGGGTGTGCTTGAAAAGAATGTGTGTTCTCTAGTTTAATGCTCTGCATATTCATTATCTCAGTATTATTGTCTTGATGCAATTTTTTATATTCTTACTGATTTTTGCCCAATTGATCTAGCAGTTATTGAGAGAGCTGAAGTTTATCTTTGTAGTTTTGTTAATTTTTGTTTGTATATTTAGTATACTAGGTGATTTAGAATTTTTTTCCTTATGATTTGAACTTCATGACATCACTGTTGTGTCCCTGTTGATTTATAGTAATGCTTTTGTCTTAAAGTCTGTTTTCTGTAAAATTAATATAGCTTTACTAATTTTCTTTAATTTAGTTTTTTCTTATATCTTTTTCTGTCCTTTTATTCTCTGCCCTATGTTTAGATCTGTCTAACTAATTCCCCTCCCCAGTTCTGCTTTCTCTCTTCTACTGGTTTGGAAGCTATACTTTATTTTGTTCTTTCAGGGCTTAGTCTGGAGCTTTTCAGATATATATTTAACTCAAAGTCTAAAATTAATACTTCTGTTCTCACTGAACAATGCAAGGACCTTAGAATGTTTTAATCACAGTTACAAATCCTTACTTCCCAAATTAAAATGTTGTTGTCTAGAATTTAAGTTTTTTCATGATTTTTAATCCTATGAATCAGACATTAGTGCTGTGTTTTCTACATTAATATTTATTTAGGGCTGACCCCGTGGCACACTCGGGAGAGTGCGGCGCTGGGAGTGCAGTAGTGCTCCCGCCGCGGGTTCGGATCCTATATGGGGATGGCCAGTGCGCTCACTGGCTGAGCAAGGTGCGGGCGACACCAAGCCAAGGGTTGCGATCCCCTTACTGGTCACCATAAATAAATAAAAATAT